TATGTTTTCCTATTTATGCATTTAATCGTAAATCGTGAAGAGAATTTCAATAAATTTATCTACTAAAATAAATTTCATGTATATGTATACATACATCAAAAGAAACCAATCGTATATCGAAATGTCATTAAAATAAATCCGTCGTGCCGCGGCAGAGGTAACAACAAGAATTTTAAACTGCTCCCAATAGGAGATGGACTTAAAGTATGTATAACGGACAGTAAACATAGTTGTTTGAAATTGAGATGTTATTTTAGCGAATGCTTTTATTATAATTTTTTGTTTACATGCTTTGTTCCTGACACTGTTTTTCACTGTACAAATAGCAATGAGGCATATTCACATCCTGGTGAGTGCACTGTGTGTTGTCCGTCAGATGACTTGGCTGATGATTTGAGTTCTGCTAGAAAAATACAAAATGGACTTCATTTTAAATGGAGATTCTTTTTCGTTTCCAACAAACATTATCTATTATTGAGCTATCCCTATGAAAAATCTCTATGCATCACTGCTTGGCTTTTTAGTACCTTGGTGATAAATATGCATCGGTTGAGTTGTCAGCAGTGATAGATGAAAAGACGAAAGTTTTTACAATAGGCGCCAATACTAATAGGTGTGTAAATGTATGAAATAATATATTTGATTTTTGACATAGAAAATTTTTATTCTTTTGCTAAGTTCTCTCTGGTTATATGTGTCATGTGATGAAATCGACGATTGTATGCAGATCACCGTTGAAAGAAGTAGGAAAAATTGAAGCTTTAATGATCACAAATAAAGTCCAAAACTAAATGTAGAGTAATTACAGCGATTTTGAAGAATGTAGTGCAAAAGCTTGTGACCATATTTCTATTAATTACCTTCTAGGTTCTTGTCGGCATCGATTCTCTTCTTTTACAAGACCACTATTGTGAAGAATAATCAATGGATGACGGACTGGAATTCTTAATTAAACATTCAAGCATAGAAAAGGTTGAAACTCATTCTTCCCGTAAAAGTTGAGCTTTTGCACGATGTTCAAAGCTATAGACCAGTCTTCTATAAAGTAAACGTGCCTAATAAGAACGGACCTTTTAAGTTGCGGAGCTTTTCTTTACCGTAAAATAATTTCTTAATCGACCTATGCACTTCACTATGAAACTTCAAGCGCTAAAAAGGTCGATTTTTTCAATCTTTCGTATAATGTTTATCGCTTATTGAGTTGTCATTATTGATAATAACGGTTTATTGCCATAGAGGGAGCGTAAATACTGTATTCAAGTATTTTATCGAGCCTTGAAGAGAAATTCAAGGCTATCTCGATTAAATTTTATTAGAGTCATAAAGAAAGATTAACTCGGTCAACAGAACAACTGGTATCCTGACTATTAGATGTGGAGTGCATAAAATTTAAGCCCCATAAAATTTAACACCATTAAACATTAATCGATAATGAAGCTTTGAAACCTATGGAGTCAATAAGCATAGATGTATGTAGTTAAAACAAAGGAGTAATCAGCAGTAGTTTGATTAGCTCCGTTCTGATTAGGCACATTTTTCCTAGTAAGAACGCCAAGCAAAGACTAAGCAAAAAATTTGAGAATTCAAAAATGGCTTGATGCTGGTGAAAATTGAAATTTTTGATTTGCTAAACGAAAATAATAAGGAGTCGAAAATTCCTGTCCATGTTAATGAGATTATATGAACTTTCATTCGATTGAATATTAAAATGAACGAGCGATAATCTGCGCATGCGAATTGTTTCTTCTTTTGTGCAGTAGATTAAGTGATATGTAAATCTCCTCTCAGAATAGAAGACCACCCCATAATAGAAGATCACCCCGAAACAGAAGACCACTTCAGCGAAATTTTTTTTGAAAAAAGGTATAGGACATTATTTTCGTTTTTTCGATTTTTTTGGTGGACACAGTAGAAGACTAGTGGTCTTCAATTCTGGCGAGGTGTATTGGTTAATGTTGTGATTATGCCGTTGAGGTGAACGAAAAATTATTTGTGTATACATCACATAATTGTTCACCATTACAGCCCTTTGGTATAACAATATGTTGATTATGTATTATTTGCATCCAATAATCACCATTGTTAGAAGAAAATGATCGATTTTGACAACTTTTATATAGAACAAACATTATATTTGTATTCATTGGCGATATTAGACTTGTTTTCCATCTATTTTTTTGCCGAAAATGTTTAAAATCTAACACATAGGGATCTTTGTATAAATCAAGACGAGTCAAAAATGTTGTTAGCGTTGCAGCATGACCAAAATAAAAATGATTTTGTGGTTTCTTTAACACTGATCTTAAATCCTTGTGAAATTGTTTCATTAAATTGCAGGTTTGTTCATAATTAATGGGATATTTATAACCATATTGACAATTATGTTTCAGATCATCTGAAAAAGAACACAGTATACATAAAATGTTAAGACCAAGATTTTCGACTATACCCTATCTGATGGTGTCGTTGAATTTGGTTCATTCTGACTCGACAGTGAACTGCTTGAAAACTGGGTTTTTGAGCACAGGGTTTTCGGAAATATTGAAATTAAAAGTATTCGCCGTTATCATTTAATTTTTTAAACAAACTCATTCGATCGAGTTCACTTTCAGTTATTTGAAACAGTTTTTTGTTCTGGAAAAACTCAATTCTAAAGATTTTTTGACGGAAAATAGATGGCTCTTAGAAAATCTTCCACAATGGGTAATCAAAGAGTTCTACAAATTTTATTATTTATTATTTGATAGTAAATAGCATGCACTTAAAAAGTATATGGTTGTGGTGGGTTTCGGAATTAGAGGTGAGATGGTTTCTCAGAGGTGTTTAAGAAAACCATCTGTGCAAAAAAATAAAAGACAACGTAAATATTTCGATTTAACGCTTACAGGAGGTAGTCCCATTACTTTTACTACAGTCTGACGCAGATCCGAGAGCCACAAGTTATGGAGGGACTAGGTGGTACTCATTTCCAGAGAGCCCCTTACTTTCTTCCGGTGACGTACAGGAGTGGGGAACCTACATGGAAACATAGCTTATCGACCCTCTGGCCATCACGGTGTCTGATCGTGTACTTACAGTGGCTGATAACCCTGCATTTTCCATTTGAGGCTAGCAAAAAACGATTTTACGACACATCCTCAAATGGAAAATGCAGAGTTATCGGCCACTGTAAGTACACGATCAGACACCGTGATGTTTCCATGTAGCTCCCTCACTCCTGTACGTCACCGGAAGAAAGTAAGGGGCTCTCTGGAAATGAGTACCACCTAGTCCCTCCATAACTTGTGGCTCTCGGATCTGCGTCAGACTGTAGTAAAAGTGATGGGACTACCTCTTATAAGTGTATGCACTTCCTGTCTATTTCTTACTAAGATCCTACTAGGATTTCGCTTAAATTTGTTAGGATCCTAACAGAATCTTAGAAAATCCTATGACTCTCGGATATACCTGATCTCATTAGGATTTTGTAGGAATTGTTAGGATTCTAAGAAATTAAAGCGAAATCCTAGAAGGATATGTCTCGGATGCTGTCAGGAAACTCATAGGAATTTCACTAGGGACACGGTGGGTGATCTTTAGTTCGGCAAATTGTACTCATCTACAAACTGATAAAACTGTTTTTCTCCTTTTCATTATATAAAATGAGCGCGCTATTATACCTTCATACTCTTTGAATTCATTTAGTTCTATTGTTAATAATTTACACCATACTGATGTTTGTTCATATATACTTGTTTCATAGGCACATGTTTTTCTCACTTGTTCTAATATTTTTGCATCAAATTGTTTTTTGGATAAACCATACCGTTCTCGCAATCGCTGTAACTTTTGTTCAAATTTCAAATTATTTTTTGATATTTGAACATTCTTTCACCTTTTTCTTGTATTTTGTACATATTTTATCGTATTTCAATCTAAAATGTGTTAATATAGAAATGTATTGTTACTATATTATAACTTACAGACTATTTTTATGTGGTAGTAGACTAGTTTTAATATTATTCGTCTTATTAGAATTTAAAAAACCTAGCATAAATTCTTTAGCGGTATCTTTTGTACGTTGTGAATTTGTTGAAACGATTTTATATGAATAATCGATGGTAAACTAGCGTGAAAATATTGGCCAATTTCTCTTGCCTGACGATTACCTATACGTATAAAAGAAAATGAAAACACTGTTTTAAATAGTGAATGAACAATGATTGCATTACCAATATCAGCTAAATTTCGATCATGTTTAATTGGATCAAATTTCATTTGCCAATGTTCAAATTGTTTTCTAGTATTCTCAACATTATTCACTTTTGAACTACTGACCAAGTTGACTTTCAGAACACCTAATGTTTTTTGAATTCTGTTCATTCCACGTTTATTCGGATAACGATAAGCATGACGACTTAGAAACCATATTGCGACAGGTTGACATTTTTGTGGCAATAAACCAATGGTAGCATTGCCTTTTATTAGATCGTAATTTGTTTTAGTTGAGAATAAAACAGACAATTCATTATTGATAGAAAAAAAGAAGATGAATATCCTCAAAAGAAAATATTTCATTTTATCCTTTATAATTGTTTATCTCAATGCACCGAGTCAAGTATTTTAAAAAATTCATATAAGAGAAAATATTCAGTAGAATACTGTATAAACACGGCATATACGAGTAAACAAAAAGCAAAAGTAGGTAGGTATAAGCAATGAAAAAATACAGAGTCACAGGTGAATATGACAAGGGACACGTGATAAAAGGACAAATATGCAAGTGTGCGTGACGAATTGCAAGATTCCTACACAAGCCTTAATGAATTCAGACTGTACTGAGTAAATAATAGAGTATTCATTAGTCTATAATAGATGGTTCCGTAATAAAAAAGTAAGCGTTGCATTGATTGATTTTTTTCCCTCTCTTAAATCAACGGATATATCTGTAAAATTTGTCAACATTCACTAAATGTCTCAAATTTAAAATATGATACAGCCGGTGAATAGAATTCGTCAAATTGATTATAACCACCGCCAAAACAGAAGGACATGGCCTTGACATGTCCCAGCGGATCGAAGTTTTGAGGATTTTCTAAAAGTTTTTGAAATTCGTAAAAAGCTTAGAATAATGTTTTCTTTTGTTCCACAGCAGTTAACTAAGGAGTTCTAGAGTACTCAGCAATTAGGAACCCGGGTATTAGACTACTTTCACATCTCCGACGTTTTGTTAACCGGAAACAGTCATATGAAAGCTCCTTATACCTTCAATTAAGGGAGCATTTCAAAATTCGTTACTCTCTTACTTTCTTCTTTACTCTTTTACTGTTCCTTCTTTACTGTTTTTCTCTTTTTCTCGTTTTTTGATTGTGCGCTAATCGTATCCATATCTACTGTATAGAGACATGTATACTAGCAAAATAACATGATAAATCATAGCATCACACAGACTAACTAGAAAGTACGTTCCCAATTTGAACGGAAACAATGCATCATGCAGTTGTTTCTTTATTTTATAGCGATTAACTGAGAGTTTAATGGATCTTTTTATACTTTTGAGTGGAGTAAAGTCTCCTGAATAAAAAGTTAAAAAACGTAAAAGAATTTTTAAAATTGGACTTAATTTAGTGAGTGATGATCGGAAATGTGAGCAGCGTTTCAATCGTTCACAGTTTCAATTGTGGCCAGTTTCTAATCTGAACGGAAAGAGAAAAAATGTTTCTATGTTTATAAATTACGCTAGATAAACCGCAGGTGATTGACTCGCTCAATTTCTAATCGTGTTCGATGGTTAGTGATTGTATTACCGTTATACGAAAATAACCGTTCAATGGCCGTATTTGTAGCAGGAATGCAAAGTACTTGTTTAGCTAACTGAGCTAATATAGGATATTGAGTTTCATTCAATTTCCAGTAATTTAAAATATTTGTTTCTTTTTCAATTTTGATCTACAAAAAAACCAAGCTTTCATTATGAATAGAGAACCTGCAAGAATTTTTCAAAAATATTCCCGAACTGAAAAATTTAATAAAATTTTCCAAGTAATTAATTTTTTTCTCAGCCTAACGATCTCAGCCAAAAAAACTCCAGGATAAACTTCGAAATGTTCACTACAAATCCGGAGGGTTTAAGGAAAATCTAAATGGGGGAATTTCCCCTTAAACGACATACTGTAGATGGATGAGGCAATAATTCTTTTATTCGTACAATCGTACCGGCTATTGCTCCAGCATTCATTAACTGTTTGACTAAGCTGATAAAACCGTCACCAGATACAGATTTAAATAAACGACTATGAACAGCACAATACTAGATACACGCTTCTGTTAGTTGGTGTTTAATTTTTACATACTCACCCAGTTGTTCGACGGGTACTTCGAGTGCTCGGAAATATGCTTTCAATGGGCCTTCGCTGAAGGCTCGAGCCCATTTTCTTTGGATAACAGTGATTTTTCATTCCTTTAGTGCGTTTAGACTAATCCATTTCAAAACAGTTCCACAAGATAAACAAACAACGTAGTCTTGGGAAACTTTCGATAATTGTATTTGAGAAAATCATGTCCAACAATCACTACGACTGATAGCCGGTTTAATGAATGAGATCGTTGGATCTTTCGCTGTGACCAATGCTTGTAACTTTGTTTTCAAATTAATATTACTCTTATCATTAACAAGTGACATACTTAATGAATAGATAAAGAAATACAATTCTCTGATGAAGATGAGAAGTTCAAAGAAACGATCAAACGGAAACAGTCTCTCTTAGTACACAAAATCAAACATCAAAAAAAACAATTTTCAAAAAATTGGGTAAATCTTTCTTTTTTCTTTTTGAACTTTTCCGCTTTAATTTCTTCTCCTTCGATTTTGTTTTTCTATCTTTGAATAAAACACTTTATGAAAATTAAAGTTAACGCCAATCAGCAAGTATTGATAAAGAGCCATTCTCAGGTACTTTGCAGAAATCCTTCTCCCTTTTAACATATTCTCTTGTTGAAATGATATCGTCTAATAGTTGATGTACCGTATTGATGGCAGTGGTGAAGTCATTCTCGTAAAGAGAAATCAGCCTTTTTCGATAATTAATAATTGATGCGTATGTTGTATCGCCTTTCTCCCAATTATCGAAAGTGTCCTTACAACCATGAATGCGGCGTTCTCCTTCCTGCAAATTTGAATCTGTGTCACTTTCGAATTTTGTATCTCCGATACCATAGGTTTTCAGTGAAACGTCACCACCATAAACGGAAGAAGAACTTATTCTTACAGTTACGTGATTCAAACGAGCCAATATACATTGTTTTTTATAGTCTTCGAGTACTGAGATCATAGAGCTTTCATTCTCTCCAATTGTGCAGATGTACCTGCTTGTGCACAATAGTTCAATTTGATGACTTGCGCACAAATAGCTGAAAATGGTATCAGAACGGAGGATGAGGTTATTGATATATCCCAAAGAATGTAATTATCACTGTCGAAGAGATGTAAAATTTCTTCACATGTATTGGCGGCAATGGCTGCATTATTCTTTGTAGCAGATTCATCCTTCAGACGAGATTCAATTGTGAGAATTTTGGCGTTAATTAAGGCCAGAGCACTTCTTGCGCTCTCTTCATTGACCATTTTCTTCATTAATTGGACAATTGGATTCATCGAATCCTCTGTACTCAATAGATCAACGACAGAAGTGAAATTCTGAACGTAAATGAAGAATTGAGCTGGCGGAGTAAATGTGCCAATCATCGGTATAAGTTTCCATAGGACAAATTTTGCAGCTTCGAGAAACAGATCGGTTAAGTTGTCTTCAATTTCATCGTGTCTCGGATTTGATTTCGGAGTGTAGCTACTCTTTGTCGGCATTGGAAGTTCTTCATAAACTCGAACCGATGGTTTTCCACCCATGATCGATTCTTGAGAAACCTGTAGAAACGAAATATACCTGTTGCGTTTCTCTGTTCAAAAGAATTTTTTCCAGCTTATTTTAGGGTATCTTGTAGAACTATAGAATTACCTAAATAATTTAAGTTGGAAGTTTTCTTCTATACCGCTTCGATGGATATCGAATTAAGCAGAATAATATTTTAACTGACAATTGACTCGTAAGGTTTTGTTACAATACAGTTTTATACATAACCTCTTTGCAATCAGTTAGTAGCTCAGAAACGAATGCCACACAAATATATACAGACATTCTCTTCTATGTATTCGCACATCAAGCAATCCTCTTTTTGCTTTAAAAGTCCACCTCTCCTCACAAAATAAGTCTCTCATCTTGCGGTCAATCGGGCTAAAACTTTTTTATTTTATATGCTCCATTGCTATCTATGACTTGTCGCCAACGCTCTGCTAGAGAAAGGATCCCGCGTTCGTAGAAGTCCTGAGAGTTTTGGCCGAAGAAATTGACGAGGTCCATTTCGAGATCGTTCTCGTCGTCGAGTTTTTTCTCGCGTAGATAGTTAGACAGAGAACGGTACAAGTGGTAATCCGTGGGAGCCAAATCTGGAGAATAAGGTGGACGTGGAACCGTAACTCATCACCTCCAATAATTTTTCACTCGTCGACTTTGCAATGTGAGGTCTGGCGTTGTCATGCAAAAAATAAATTCTATCTTGCTTCCCCTTGAGTTTTGCTGCAACTCGGTCCAATTATTGACAATAGAGATCAGCAGTGATGGTGCAGCCAGTTGGAAGAAGTTCCCAATGAATAATCCCTCTTACTCCCCACCAAACGTTCACCATAATCTTCTTTAGATGAAGGTCATTTTTGGGCGTTGGTACACCTCTTTGTCCAGCTCCTAGCCACTGCCGCCTGCATGTGTGATTAACATACAACACCCACTTTTCATCCCCGGTAATAAGATTGTGCAGCCATTGGAGTTGCGATGAGATGTCATTAATTCCATACAAGCGTCAACCCTGTGTTGGAGCTGAGGTGGCGACAAGTCATGTGGTATCCAAGCTCCATATTTCCACGTCTTGCCTAATTCGTCCAGATGTCTTTCCACTGTAGTATGACAGCACCCAAGTCGCTCTGCTAAACACCATGTAGTCAATCTTGGATCTTCATCGACAAGCTGCTGTAAGACATCCATATCCACCTCTAGTGGTCTACCGGAATGAGGTAAATCGTCGAGTTCGAAATTATCGTTGTTGAACCGATTGAACCAATGTTGCACTGTACGAATGGAGAGTACATCCTTGCCCATCGTGTTGCATATGCTGCCTTTGCGACACAAACGGAATTCATGAAGCAGAAGTAGTCGGAGCTCTTTATGAGATATCTTTATTTCTAATTCAAGATCAACATCGTATCCATAGTTTTGTTGTTCTTCGAAAGATATTCGTACTCCCTTTATATACCCTTAGTATGGAAACTTCTAGAACTTTCTCGACTGTTCTAGGAAACTTTTTTAAAAAACGCAAAAAATTTCGTGCCAACCCAATATATATAGAGATACGTTTATATCACGTGGATAAGCACGTGGAGCAATCTATCCTTTTCTAAAAATTTTTCTTCAAACGACGAAACATGCCTCCTATAACGTATCTATATATCTATAGGATATCATACGCCACGTGTATGTTCGACGATACTAACGTTTTTTTCTCATTTTAAACGCGACGAAAAACAGTGCCTGTTATATAAGGTACTTTATGTCTTAAAGTAGACTACTTTTATACTAGAACTTTTTGCAGTTTATATCTGCTTTTTGAACTTTCTTAAAGTAGAACTTAATCATTAAAATAACCAATTTACCAAGTAAGTAGTACACAGCAGTTGCAGTGAGTGAGAGAATAAGGATGTAT